TCCTAGGATATTAGCAATAATACTATCTAGGATAGTAAAAGTTTCTGGTGCGGGAGTTGTTTCTTCTTTTGGGTCTCCTTCTTTTTGCCTTACCAATTGTTGGGATGCCCATAGTTCTGAGGTTTCGTCGTGCTTTCTTGAAAGTTTAATTAAAGTATTCAAGATATCCTCCTTCCTTTTGTTTACTATATGAAGAATGCATTGTGCCCTATCCATGTTTGCTGTGTCACGTGATTATTGAATGAGTCATGCTTTGCGGATTAACTCTGTTTATTTGTTTATTTTTTCAGATAGTATTACTGGGGTTTCTTAATATATCTGTTGTGCTAGTAGATCACTTGTGAGGTAAATACGAGTTGCAGATTGTTTATCTGTTTATTTGTTAATTTTAGTAACACATGTACTGATTCTATTAAAAGGTAAACCGGATATGAGGAACATATTTTGTGATTAGCTAGAACATGTATTGAGCTTGTTTATCTGTTTAGAGACGCGTCACGTAATCTGTTGATGTGTCTCTGTTGTCTAAAGGGACATGTTCGTGTTCACATTATATGCTAGTTGTTTATATGTTGCTGATATGTTGTTATTGATAATCTCTAGCTATTGCTCTTGGGCTCCTGATGTCCTCTTGGGTCTTGCAAATTTTGAGTTTTGACTAGTTTACCGGTTGAGATTACAATATTGCCAGGTTCCTTCTAATGTCTAGAAAGATGTAAATCTGCACTGGCCTGGTTGGAAGCTAGGAGAGTTGATGTTGGGTTCCTTGGCCTTACTATGATTTAGATTTACTTTTGTTTTCCCTTTTTCTCAAAAGCTGATGGATAAAGTACTAATATTATTATTATGTACTCTTCTCTTGGCGGCTTGTTTATAGAGCTTTATGTGTTGCTTCAAGTAAAGTGATGTAGTTGTGTTTCTCTTTACTATGTTTGCTAAGCTTGGATTGTGTTATTCTTTTTCTCTAAAGAATTACCAAAAAAGAAAATTTTTAGAAAAATAGTGGATCAGCGGAAAGAGTTTTTTTTTTTTATTATTTCTATTTATTGTTTACATACAATATATATTATTTACTTACAGTATATAAATTAGGTTTTCTTATAGTTAGTTTGCTTAATATAAAAACTCTTTTTACTGATTCTCTAATCATATATAAAAAAGATGTTCACAAGAAATTTTATACTTTTTTGCTAATAAAATCTTTATACTTTCATTAAAACAACTTGAAGCTTGTTTTTATGTATCTCTTCTACTCTTTCTTACTTGTTTATAAACTTCTTTGAATAAAAACTTGAGCTTCTAGTAACTTGAAAAGACTCAAGTACACACTTTCTCTATTAAGGGCAAGAAGGTTCTAGGAAATAAAAGAACTGACAAGTGAAGTATCACTTTACAGAGCTGGAAGTGACAAGATATAGAGGTTCTGTTGACAAGAGAAGGCTTATTTTCCACCTTCTTATATATTGTCTTATACCTTCTTAAAGTGCTTACTGTTTTTTACAATTTTTTGGGGAATTTTGCCTACTTCAGTTTGACCCTAAATTTTTAGTAGCACAACATCATCTGGCATCTGATTGGTTGACATGAAACACATTAGTGGCTAATATAAACAAGCTCCTATTGGTCACCTTACATATTCCAATAACATTATTGGTAATTGAAAGAGAAGTCAAGGATATGAACTCCTTCACTTCTCCAAATAAAGTTTAATTAAAGCAAAGAAATCATGAGGCCATTAGGATAGGCACTAAATTCCCTAGGTAGTGAAAAGATGGTTATTTGTTCAAGCCGAGGCCTTTAACTTCTTATTATTCTGGTCAGGCAAAGTACACAAAAAAGATTATTTCCTTATTGCGATCCGGCTGTAAGACCAAAAAGCAGAGAAATGTAAAACAATACTCTTTTCTAGGATTGTGAATGCATTTCTCCAGATATTGAGTAATGATATTGCAATAAGAATGAATATCAATAAAATTTCTTTAACAAGGCGTGACTGCTGGAAGATATCAGAAGTTACTCAATAAGACTGAAAAGCCACATAAGAACCTGAAGTCCACCATTAGTAATCTTTTTCTGTGTGGATGGATACAAAATCAAGACTAAAAGAAAGGAAGTGTTGAACAAGACACTGGATCTGAATAGGTGATAAATACCTCAGATGGTCACAAAGAAATAATCAAAAGTACAAATAGATAAGTTTCTCAAATAGTTAGGAAAAAGAAGGATATTCTAGAAGGGTTGACTCCTAATGAGAAGAGATTTTTAGCAGAGGTCCTTTGGAAGATATGGAGCATTTTAATTTTTTTTTTTCTTTTCATTTTCATATAATGCGTTTGCATATTTTTAAATATACATTTTTTTTTTTATTTTTCCTTTTCCCTTTTGTAGTTTCTTAAATTCAATTTCTTGGAGGATAATAAGCAGTAACAACCTGCTGGCAATGATAGATAAGTTAGGAGGGTCTTTATCTAAAACTTAGTTCAGAATGAAATATTGTTCTCAAGGTTGCACTTAGAGGTTAAAACTCTTTTGAGAATTGAAAGCTATTAACAAGTGTGTCAGTATGAGTTTTTTAGTTTAGTCATGATGCAATTGTCCTATGTATCTCTATCGGATTTCTTAATAATTAATAAACACATAGTACTGACCTGACTATGGGTAATAAAAAAAAAAAAAATAGTTAGTTTACTTAGTATTAATAACTTATTATTGATTAATTTGATAAAAAAAAAATAATTTTGAAAATTTTTAAAGAATATATTTTATATAACTCATATTTTATTTTCTCTTATATTAAATCTTATATATAAACTTGTGATTTAAAATTTATTGATTTTACTTTTTCTTTATTTTATTTTATTATATTTATTGATAGATTGTCATCTTATTATTAACTTTTTTAATAAATTAATTTATAGAATTATCTAATATTATATATTGCTATTGATTTTTATAATAATTTTATATAAAGCTAGACTTTATTATCTTATTGCATTATTATTTTTTATTTAAAAATATAGACTTAATTGTCTATAAAAATTTTAACTATACTATACTATTTATTAGAACTAGTAGAAGCATTATGACTATTGTTACTAATTCTGTTTTTGTGAATAAGAACCAATTATCTATTCTTGTTTAAAATCCATTGTTTCTTCTATTTGAATCTTATTTTATAAAAAAAAAGTAAATTTTTTTTATAAACATCTTTTTTAAATATAATTAAAAAATTAAAAACATACCTTTTATTTTTGAAAAATACTAAGATTTTCATACATATTTTTATTCATAATCCAAAGATGTTAAAAACATGGACTTTTTATTATCTAAGAATTTTTTGTTTAAAAACATTTTTTAAGTAGAACAATAATGAAAAATGACTATAAATTAAAAAAATTCAATTGGCTTTTTGTCTATTCATTTAAACTATCTATTTTATATAAATCGCTGGTTTTTTAAATGAAAAATTTTGAAAAATAAGTAAAAGTAAATAATACATTTTATTAAATTAACAAGAAACTTCGCTGAATGGATCTCTCATCAACTCATTGGTCATTAGGAGCACTGTGACAATGTATAAAAAGTCATCACACTTTCGCTAGAGTTCGCATCAACAAAAAAAAAGACCAATTTATGCGTAACAAATGTTATTACTATAATTCATTAAAATACATTCATCCACATAAGATGCTACTTCGAGATCTTTCAGCAATCGTTTTCACCGAATGTCCTCAAACCCGGTTCGTTCGCCGTTCCTCCCGCGCCGACATTATATGAACAACGGTCAACGCTACTTATTCCCAGAAGAAACTCTCGGTATCTTTGCTACTTCCCTTGCTGAAACTTCTGTAAAGATCCAATGAAGTTTCGTACAGATGTTTGTCTTTTTCCGGATCAAATGTCGTGGCGATGGACGGATCCTCCCTATGAATCAGGTCGACGAGAGGCAATGATCAGTTTCCGGAGGTGTACACTTTGGCTTTTACGCATCATTCGATTCACCTGAAGCTTAATTTTTCATCGAACTGGGAGAGAGAAACCTGTGACGGACGCTTAAAGACGCTGCTACCGACAGACGTATAAGAAATCGTTGGTGAGCCCATGTGCTCGTGTGCGAATGGATCGAAGCCCATGAATGAACTTTGTCCGTGCAGTCTTGATGGCCTCGGCGTCGGCTTTTGATCAGGGGGAGGTGTCTTGTCAAGGCGTAATGACAACATTTTTTTTGTGGGTGTCGTTTGCGCCAAGATCGATCGCGGTCTTGAGGAACTGGGAGATCGGTCGACCTTACTGGCATCTTCCCGATAAGACTTTTTTAAGGCAAACGATTGGTTATAATTAATTTACATAGAACTCGGGAGAATTCAATGCCTCGTTAATCGAATATATATTACGGTGAGCAGGTCTTCATAATTTCCGCGGGTTTGATCGGCTTCTGTCTCATAGGAGATTGTCTGTTGCCCACGGTTTTTGCTTTGACCTAAGAAATTAAGATCGGTGTAAAATTTGAGGCACTATAGTGTGTTGACGGGAATGCAAGTCCTGAACCTTTTGCAGTTCCGTCAACTTTGAAAGACAAAGGGTAGGGACTAGGTGTGTTTCCTATTCCTAATGCCCAAGGCGAAATTGGCGGAGTGGACACGCTCGTGGCATTTTTATATCTCGAATAAATGGATTCTTCGGCAGACATTTTTTTCGGATAACGCGTGCGTAAGTAGAATGACACGTACGGTGGTACATAATATGACGCCTGCACTTAAAATAAGGGATCTGCCAGTGATTTTAGTGCGCACCATTGCACAATAAAAAATACTGTGTATGCATGCATGCATGCATCATTGTGGAATTCAAGGACCCATGTCAACGATAACTTCGATAGCATCGAACGACAAAGGAGGGTGGAAAGAGTTATCACGAATACTCGCGGAAATCTTGTACCCAATGGGGTTTGACTTGGTCAAGGCGTTTCCTGCCGAGAGGTTTGCGAACTAAAGAGTCGAGGTTTAATCAAAGCCGACATCTCACCTATTTTTTTTTCTTCTTCTTCTTCTTGGAACAGATACAACTCCAATTTATCGTCCGCGGGGACATTGGTTCCACTGTCGGCAACAAATTTCAAAAACACCGACAAGTCCATTTCCACACAACACAATCATTCATCCACCTTATCAGTAATAATAGGTAACACTAAACACCTTTGGCCAATTTTCCTGAACCATTATGTGAAGAACATGCGAGAAAACGCCGGTGATACTCAATGTGCCAACTCGACGACCGAAGAAATGGACGACACCTATAAGAGGGACAACCCGTTAGACTGGTATACCCAAGTTAGCGTTGAGTCGGCGGTGAAGAGTGCAGTTTCGAAGTTTGCTGGCAATACTTCCAAATACGATATTCGATATGTCTTCGATCTGAGTGAGGATAGATTCGTGGCATTTCAGCAGTTAGCACAGGACGCGGGGTTGTCATATTACAATAAGATATGTTATTTGAATGTTCACTCCGAATATGGTCCGTGGATTGGATTGAGGGCTGTTGGTAAAGTGATGTCATTTGTTTTTTTGCTTTCTATTTTAAGCAATTTCACATACTAGACGGTTAAATTCAGCGTTCTAAAAATAATTGAATTCATCCTAAATAGTAACATTTGATGCTGAAGGGCCACCAAACACTCCGGATCTATTTCCCACACTTGAAAATCCATATCCAAAAGGGGATCAACTATTGCGAACGAAAATGGACGAAATATTTGTCATGAACGACGGTGGTTACCACCAGTCATCGAAGAGCACGAGTGTCACCGAGAGCGTCGCAAGTATTCGTAGGGACTGGCATAAATGGGTGGAGTTACGCGATATCGCCGGTGGATTCATGACCGAGGAGATGAAATTTAAATACCGATACTTCGAGGAACAGTTAGAATATCATTATACAAAGAATTTGAAATTATTATTGAAAGCAGATTCGCAATGTTTGTAGCTGGCATGGTTTTTTTTGTGCAATTCTAATCACCGGGTTTAAACCGGTTTTTTGTTCAAAAGGTTGAGATAATGTCAAAGAGATGATAGGTGTTGCCCGGGGGCACCGTTCTCCCACTTGTGTTTCATAGTACGATGCCATAGTTTTACCAAAGAGAGAATTGAGGCATTTTTGCGTAAGCACATTCCTAATCGAAGGGTTTTTGCATAATGAGAATAATTCTGTCAAACGATCGTGACCGCCATCTTTGTCCTTATAAATACAGCCTCCAAAAATTCAACTTGAAATCTATTTGCCATAATATAAACATGCTTCGCACGGCTGTCATCTTGTTTATCACCGCTTGTTTCATTGTTTGCGCTCGCGCGGCTACCGTTTCAGTTACAGTGGGGCCGGGTTTGACTTTCTCACCTCAGAATACCACAGCAAGTCCTGGTGATACCGTATGTATACTTTCACCTTACCACACGAGAAGGAAACTTAAAGTGTATACGCATTTTATGTAATAATTATATTGTTAGGTGTTATTCACCTGGGCGCCTAACAGCCCGATGCACAGCGTTGTACAATCCGATTCTCTAGCTAGTTGTAACGAAGCAGGTGTGTCACGCATCTCTTGCGCATCTCATTACCTGTCTCTTGACCTTACCTCCTTTCTCTTCTCTCCTATCAGTCAATGCATTTGACAGTAGCATGAAGACCTCTGGTACCTTCTCCATCACCGTCAACAAAACCTCCGTCTACTATTTCTGCAGTGTAGCCGGCCATTGCCAAGGTGGCATGTGGGGTGCAATTATCATTAGTAGTTCCTCATCAGGTCCGTCCTCCTCTTCATCATCTATATCATCTAGCAAGTCCACATCGTCTAGTACATCTGCATCTTCCGGTAGTCCTTCATCAACAGGTGCAGGTTCATCTAAATCATCGAAAACCTTTGTCACTTTATTGACATTGTGCGATGTCAACCGCGTTCGTGGCTTCTCTCTTAGCATAAGGAAGCGAGATTGGCTGATTTTTTTTTTAAAGATGACGGCTTTTCGAAGTACTGCTATACAGTAGATTAAGAATTCGAGTTTTTGTTTCAGGGCCTCAAAAAATTTTATAGAGTTCATCTTTAAAAAAAAAGATTACCCAAATTTTCATTCGTCGCACCATTACCGGATTCTCGTGAACATGCTGCATTATAACCTCTTTCTTCATCTCTTTTATCTTACACAACATAATAAGGCAATTCACCCAGCGGTTCACCCAGCAGTTCACCCAACAATTCGTCTAGCCCAACAACCGGTTCATCAACAAGCACGGGTGGGTCATCGCCAAGCCCGACTACCACCAAATCATCCGCCTCCACCACATTGATGACCGTCGTTACTTTACTGATATTAGTGGCAAGTGCAATTGCGTTTGCTTTCTCGATTTAGCAGAAAAAATCATATATACAGTATATACATACATACAATATAAGTATATACTGTATACTTTATCGTGTAGCATGTATTCATTCATTCATCCCTTGGGCAGAAATATCACATGACACCAAAAATGCGCTTCTGTAATTTTAATTTCAGTTATTACTTTTTCTTCACGAGTCAATAAACATTAAAGTCCAGTCCCAACGGAATTACTAGTATCATCATCGTGTGAATCTCTTTGCAGCATTCCCGAATATTGGTCGTTCAAAAATTTCTCTTTATATACATACCGTGAGAAATTTCTGTTGTAATTAAATGTCTCGGCACTTTCTCAATATCATTTATATTTTGATTGCACGAAAAAAAAAAAAAAAAATCCAACGTGTAAGGTGCTTTTTTTTCGATCACCGTTCTTTTTCAAGTAACCACCATTGCACAGTATACCCGATTGGGTTGCGTAAGACAATTTTTAACTGCCGTCGACGAGGTTATTCTGCAATCGTCCTGAATGTTGTCACCGGTCTTTGGATGTGCGCGTGTGTGTACGTGCCGTGCGCAAATTTTGACGACTCGCATTTAACGCAGATTATTTAAACTGACACAAAGATTTCGAATGAAAGCGATGCATTCATTTAAAAATCGCAAGATCATTTTTATTACTGTATTATATTTTATTATCATTAATTACCCGACATGATGTGAGCTGTTGAAAAAAAAAGAAAGAAGCAAGAGTCAAGATAAACGAGCGAACCGAGGACAACAAACACAATATCTCAGAATTGACTCACATCTCAACGGGCAGGCCACGGGATGAGTGTCGTTGACCGTGACCTCGTGTATTCTCCGCTGAAATTGATATCGAATCTTCAACTGCTTAGGTTCACCCATGCAAGGATCATAAAAACCTATGATGTTCGACTATAAAAAGGGATGTGGTTGTTTAACCACTTTCGATCCTTGGATGGCGATCACATCAACGATCACAGGTTTGAATGAACCTACCTTGGAGTATCCACCCGGAATGGTCAATTGTGATTCGTGCACCAATGCTTGAACCGGTATTGTTACATCAAAAGTTCCTTCCGTTGACGACGGTTCCCCTGTGCGGGAAAGGTTTCCATACCAGGCCTCTAATATGATCAATCCATTCTCTTTCGCTCTTTCTGCTTCTAACTTACGTTCTACTGAGGGTTTCAAGAGTCGAATTGCTTCTTCCGCTTCACGTTTTCGGTTGGCAATGTGTTCCGCATTGCGTTCTCGCAAGATGGTCAACCTCCTAAAAGAAAAAATCGTGCACGCCTTTAGCATCTCTTATCGTGACGTAGAAGGGATGCGTGAAATACTTCTTACTCGGCTGCCTTCCTCTTGCGTCGTGGTATCAGGATCACTCGTTCAACGGCGATCATTGTCACCACAGGCAATAACGCGCCCCACAGTACGAATTTGTAGTGATACTGCGATGATATCTGAATTGGAATGGTGATCCTTTGTCCTAAACGAGATATCCTAAAAAAAAAAAAAAAAAAATCCAAAACGGAAAAAGGAAAAAGGAAAGGGAAAAGGAAAAAACGCGCAAACAGATCCTTAATTTTCGCACACGTTCTCTTTCGATGATTCAATTATCAATGTGTAACTACCAGTTATATCATTATTATTCAAACCTGCATCTAAACAAGACTCCACTGGGAATCCCGAACTCCATGGCCAACGCGAGCCTGGTATTTTCGGTGATTTTGCGTTCGCCGTAGAGAACAGTCGTGAGGCCACTTGTTGTTGAAAAGAGATGATTGAAAAAAATTTAGGTCTTCAATTCGGGCATGCATCTCGGTCATTCATTTGGAGAGCGTATGACGAATGAAATGATCAGAAACCTGGAAGTCGACAAAGTGGTTGCAGCCCTCAAGTGATAATCACCGAGTAATTTGTGGTTGTAATTTGCTGAGACATGCGATTCCCCTAGACCAGTCTAACACCGAGCATCAACGTAAATCGTTGCTTAGTTAGAAACGATGACGCAAGAAAAGAGGATCACACCTGTATTTCGCAAGCATAACCTGAATTTTCTTTGGAATTACTGAAACCGATGGCCACAGCTGATTTGTCACGCCGTGAGAATAAATCCTTACGTCCCCAAGGGCCCAACGACCATGCACCAGTTCTGTACGTTAGATAACCGGTGGTACTTACGCCAAGTCGTCTGCCGCAGGTAAAGGATAAACTCGGCGGCGATTTGATTGTGTGAGATTGCGCTGCGACGGAGAGAAAGCTGCAACCCCGCGGGGTTCGTTTTGTCAATTCTTGAAATTTTAAATCGGGAATAGAGGAAATGTAGATACCCGTCTGAACCGAAACTGTAGTTCGTCTTCGCGTTCACCACTCGAGGTTGAATTATTGACGATCCAACCTAATACGACGAGTTCGTCCAGCTTTTTCAACAAAAGTACTTACTGACAAAGTGCAAATAAATAAATAAAATACACGACATCTCTCTAACGTACTTCAGCCCAAAAATTTGGTGAAAACACGTGTCGCACGTTCCACATAATGTTACCACCACCAACTCCATTGCGCAGAACAGTCTGTCCGGAGAATGATGCCTGGGTGTGTGATTGTAATTGGTTCTGGAAACAAGGACACGTCAGTCTAGCCACGATCACCTCGAATGATACCATCAACGGAAAGTCAAGAACCCACTTCGAACGAATGCTTCATAAAGAGTTGTGTGACCTCAACATTTTCATACCAATTACGCGGTCCTTTATCGTAGGGATCAAACAGTTGTGTGGCGTCGATGCTCAGTTGAAAGTCGCCCTGATGATCGAAATCCGTAGGATAAGTTCGCTAGGTGAGAAACATTATGCTGAAAAGTAGTTTACCTTTGATTTCACCATGCTTTCCACCTCTTGCTCTCTCTTCATCCTGGTTTGCCTTTCGAATTCTTCTCTCAACTGTGAATCCGAGTTATCACCGATTTGATGACGTGTCGTAACGATGTCTCATGGATCATCACGGAACGATCCGTGGTAATACCTACCTCCTGCGGAGTTTTATAGCGAGCCCCGATCTCCCACGATGTGCTCAACCCCTCTTCGCCAAACATGTCGTAAACAGTTCTTTTTGTCGGATCGGTTAAAACTGCGTGAATCGATTTATACGTAAACATGTGAGACCACTACTAAATGGGAGTGGTTCGACCTCGACACAAACTCGATTCACATTTACCTTCGTAGGCTTTTTGAATCAATTGAAATTTGGACTGCGCCGCCTTCCTGCTCTCCGGATCCATGTGCTTGTCCGGGTGAAATGTTCGGCATAGTCGTTTATAGGAATCCTTGATCTCTTCTTCAGTGGCCTGTTCAAAATTCGGTGCAACTTTAAAGAAGGATGTTTCCGCCGGTGCTTTGAAGCGTGACACGAAATACCTCTTTAGAAACGTTCAGTACACCATACAAATCGATTGAAGGAGGTGGATTCGATAATTCATCATCGTTCTGATCGTCGGCGAACAAGGTTCCATTGCTTGATTCGTGAGGATCCATTGTTTGGTGGGATGGTAAAAGACGACTGAAGATCGGATTTATATATAGCACCCCAAAAAAATTTATCGACACGTGTGATCATTGCGTGACGTGTGTACATACAGTAAATGCAAGTATCTCCGCATTTTCACAAATTCATTCACTCATTCGTCTATTCGTTCACCCACACGTTCGTCGCCATGCGAAAACTTCCAATCGCCATCGTCATTGTTCTTTTCGTCACATTTTCAATTCTTGGTTTTGCGCCAAACCTTCACATGAACGTGTCGGACAAATTGTTTCATTTTCTAGGATTCTGTGTTCTAACGGTTGCCACTTATTGCGTGTGGGAATGGAACATTAGAATGAATTTAATAATCACAACTCTTTTATTATTTTCAGAATCCATAATTAGTGAGGTGGTCCAAGGAACGCTGCCGGTGAGTGAAGTTGCAATTTAGTCGGACACCCGCATCATCAGCCACTTATCTCGTCTCTTCGACCCCGTCGATTAGTACAAGAAATTTGATGCGCGGGATATTTTGGTATGAACGGATTCTCCCTATCAACTTGTGTCAAGTCTCACATCAATTGATCCGCCTTTCACGAAAACCAACGCATTATAGTGTAATCTTTCCGGCACTTGCCTTGGACTTGTTCTCGCTATCACCGGTGAATTCTCGCGCGATAAATGCCTCGCGAAACATCGATACAGTAGCTTGGATAATCAGGAAGTCATTCTAATGGTTTGAACTTCACCTCGCATCTCTCCCCCGCACCGCCCCGCCCCGCCCCGCCCCGACATTATAGACGGATTTGACTTTTTTCTGGCAAAAATCAGTTCGTCCTGCTTTCTAGGACACGTGACAACCTTATTTATTAATCGTTTGAAAAATTATCATCTTATTTAATAATAATAATAATAAATTATCCATTTTTTTTAATCCATTCAAGTTCCAATTATGATGAGGAAAGGGAAAAAAATGGTGCGAACTAGTAATTTTATTTATCACTCGACTAATAACCCTTATAGCAGTAAATCGATTCGCACCGAAATCACTACTGTTTCTCGTGAGCATTCTTTCCTTGTCACAAGAACGCGATTAATTCTTGCAAAACATTGGTGGAAGATGAACAACCAATCACCCTTTCGCGACGCACAACACAATTGATCTTGACGATGTCCCACCTGCAGCAAAGATTTTCTGTGCTATGTGATCGTATGACCTTTATACCATGCGTACGCCGCATTCGGTGCGAGAGTGTCATGCAAGATTATGTAAGTTGATCACTGTCTTCCACGGATAGTGCCTGGGTGGTCATCGATTGCTCCTATCATCAAAAAGAATACCACACCTATCAGACAGAGCGGTTCTGTATAATGATTACACAAGTAATGGTGATTATTATTTCACCTACTTTATTGCATGATTGAAATTACTATGTACATGTACCGCCGAGGCAGGTGAAAGGTTTAGATTTGAAATATAAACATCTATGACATTAAAGTCCGAACTATACAAATTTTATGTGATGACTGGTATTATTATTATGATTACTTGAAACGGTCATAGCCGCTTTTATATGATACACCCTGCTGTTACCGTGTGACAACAGGTTACAATAGATGCAATCACTGCTGGTGTTGGAATTGCTGCTGTTGCTGCTGTTGCTGCTGTTGCTGTTGGTATGGCTGCTGCTGTTGGTACTGATGATGCTGTTGTGAGACTAGTCTAAATTGTTCGACCAGGCGACGATTTTCCTCCTTAAGGACATTGTTTGATGTACGGTAATCTTCGTTGATCAGTCTTTCGCATAGATTGGTGAGAGCGGTAGAGGACGTTTTCTGTACACATGGTATTCACATGATCAGTTAACAGTCGAGCCCTCTCCGTACGTGAAGTGAAAAAAGTAAAAAAAAAAAAAACAATATATATATATTTTTTTTCTTTCCTTTACCTCCGATCCTTTTTTGATGAGCTCATTATATTTCTCTGATATTGTTTTTCGCCTCTTGTGGAATTTCAAGGCATTCTTGGTTGCTGAATAAGGAAACACAATCGTATGATGTCAGGGATGAAATATTCGGCAGGTGAAATCCAAAAAAAAAAAAAAATCAAAAAATCAAAAAATCAATAGGGCATTTCTTATTGGTCACACCTTCTAACTCTGATGTTTGTTCATTGTTTTTCATATCTTCCTCGGGATATTCAAAGATGTGATAGGGCAAGAGCCTTGCAACCGCGTCCTGGTATGACCTAAACGGAGTCCTATAGTCAGGTTGCAAAACCGCAATCTGGTCGGCTTTCAAGGCCGCCTCAAACCTAAGAACGAGGCGTACGTTAAAATTAGCAAATAAAAGTATTGACGTTGCATTGCCGTAAAGGGACATTGATTTTAAATATACCTTTGAATTATATCCACGTGATGATTGTACTCTTCCATAGTGCGTTCTGTCCTTTCTATTTCCGAAGTGCTGAATGGCCTCTTCACAATTTGCGACATGACGGAACTGGTCGAATGCATTCCGCTAGAAAAAAATGGTATTGCCGGACGTGCCACGGGCGTCTCATTCAGATAATAGGAGCCGGGCGTGGTCATGGTCGTCGTCTGGGAATAGTAGGAATACGGGGAAGTGTATTGCGAATCATCATCATCCATTTGTGATCTTTTTTTCGAATATCTTCCAGTTTTATTGTATCTTCGTGTGGACTTCGAGGACCCATCGCTCATTTGCGGTGTTCCCTCCAATGGTAACGATTGCTGTCTGGAGAGTGCTGCCGAACTGTGAAAAAATAAAGGCTGCGTGAAATTGAAGAAAAGTGTTGTTATTATCCCACCCGGACAATACCAAGAAAAACAATGAGGGAGTGTTATTGAGTGTCAGG